TCAATTTTGCTCAGGATTGTGTATTTTATTTAAAGAGACTGGGGAGTTAGTCGCGATTTGACTTTCATACAGTTATAATGGACATTAAAATAACAATTATAGATTTTTCAAAGATTCTTAAAACTTTAAAGTGATGATTAAAAATTTACTGAAATTATCGAAGAAAACAAATATTAAATTTATTAAAATCGCATAGTTACCTAATTTTTAAACCTTTTACAGTTTACCAGAGTGAAAAATGAAAGTATCAAACGTTTATTGATGAAAGAACTAAGTCGAAAAGAAAAAAAAACGATTCCTCTGTAAGCTGGATAATATGTCTTCACTTTGTGTGCACATTGAAATCTATCACCCAAGATCATGTTATGCAATGCTACTGTTGTTACTTGTATATAACTAATACACTTTCTTTAACTCAGAAAGCTGACTCAAGTCAACTCAAAATTCATAAGGCATGTAACTGTAAACCGCTGAAAACTAAATAAAAGACTAAAGTACATTGTATGTTTCGCGGGATGTTCATCAAACTTCAATGACACTAAATTTAAATAAAAATTTTTAAAAAGAGCTCGTAAAAACGAACTTTGAACTACACCAAAGCAGCGTATATATAAGCGGAGAATATATCACCTGAAAATAATCGAAAACCTTAAATGGTGCTATCACTAATAAATCAGATTCAGGTGCATTGGAACTAATAAACTTTATAAAATCATGTGACATAATCAAATTAATGGAGAAATCGAAAAGCACTTTTCGGAAAAAAAGAAAGGAAAAGTTGGAGATTGGTTTAATAGAGAAAACTGACTTTACTTTTCAACTTAACCTTTCAACAGTCCTGTAACCGCGAATGTGCATTATCAGCATATTTAGAAAATTGTATATTCTGAAACTTGGACCAGAAAATAAAATCAAGATCAGTCAGTCAGTTCCGCACAGAAAAATTTCTTCTAACAAAGTGAAAAAGTATCAGTTTATTTTGCGAGATCGTATATAATTTTCACATTTGAAATGAATGCCAGTCTAAGGTTTATGTTACCAGTGATTAATACTCGTGAATATGAATGATTCCTGAATACCGGAGTTCGATCCCAGGCAAGCGGGCTGACTGCATGATTGCTTTTCGTAGTCTTTCTTCTTTCGTATTTCGTAATTTTTATGCTTTAGCGGATCATTATTTTACGGTATTTGTAATTATGCGTTAATTTAGGTTGGAATTGTGTAAATGGCTCAAAAAGAAATGAACGTACAATCTATTAAACTCTACGAGGCTTTAGTGGAAATATTTATAGTCATGTTAGCTACATAAAAACGTTTTTGCGAAGCGCATTTTCAAGAACGTTAAACCTTTTTTTCCCCATCTTTTCGCTAAATGTTCAATCTTTTTTTCTTCTGTAAATGTATAATAAATAAAGCCGTTACAAAGGGATTCAAAATTAGTGGAGAATCAGTAGTTAATTCAAGTTTGTCCTCAATTCTACCTCACAATTCACAATGAATGAATGAATTCGTAATAATAGCGATTTTCTTTCATTAAAAGTTAACATGCGTTATCTTTACCAATGTAAGAAATGATGGCCATGAGATTTTTCAGTTCTGCTTGAGCTACTTTCAGCTCTTTTCTTGATTTTATTAAAACTGTTATCGTTTATTTTCCTTTTTTTACTTTGAGCTGCATATACATGCATGTATGAACAAATAACATGCAACAATATTGCCCGTCAATATATTCCTTGGTTTACTACTTTGATTTTCAAAAGAAACTATTTTATTTCCACTAGCATGTGAAATGAATTTTAAACTTTTCAACAAGATCAATTCAATTCTAACAAACTCTTTTTCCGCTCATAAATTCACTTAAAATTTCCTAGTAATTGACATGCATTCTTATCATGCCTTACTAAAGAATGTTTCAAAACTTACAATCTTCGATGCATGACTTACGTTAATGTCTTACAACCTGGGACTTATATTTTTTATTTTGCGAAACATAAATACAAGATAATATTCTTCAGCCTAAATGTTGTAAAATAAATTTTCCAAAATCACAGCAGAAATTTTCTCTCTCTTGGATGCTTTTTATGAAATCTTCATATAAGAAAGAAATAGAAACAAAAACCTACAAAATCCTTAACGTTTTCCCGATTCCGCTTTTACCAGTGTGAAATCGAGTTTCTATTTTTTTTCTGCAATGAAATGGTGAATAATGCTACTTTTCTACCATGCCCCGAAATAAACAAGAACAGAATTCTTTAGGAGCTATGTATTACTCCATGACATCTAAGTCATATATCATAGAAAAAACATGAACAGTAAACAAGTTATACAAAAACTACTGCAGATATTTGCTTTGAGAATTGCATCGAGAAGCTCATAAAAGATTTATGAGAATTTCAGGATCTTTCAATAAACATTAAATTCATTTCACTGACTAATGTAAAGGGCAATAAAGATACTCAACTAGGGAAAATGAGAAATTGTAAAGCTGGTCTTGATTACTTTAATTTGTTCTTCAAAGAATAACTCTTCTGGCACTAACTCTCGATAAAAAAAACCTCTCATATATTGTTGAATAGGGTACAAATACGGAAACAAGGTTTTTGAATTAACATTCAAAATTTAATTATATTTTGAATCAGAGTTATACAGGGTTGGAAACAAAGTGAAAAAGCTCCTTAATACGAAATATAAATAACAAAGATAATAGAAATTTTATTGCATAAACAGAAGTCTGCACCAAAGACAAGAAATTGTGTACATTTCTCATATTTAATGCCCAACCGTTGTTATTGTTTTCGTGATTTTCCCAAGCGTAACGTGTATACGAGCCAATTTCTCTTAGAAATTCTTCCACGAAGGCAATTCTCCCCTTAGGTAGATAGATAGCCTTCGAGTGCTTTGCCATAACCATCTAAACCAAACCAAACCATAACTGTTGTAATAATACTTTGTGATGCTAACTGTGACAGTACATAGCAGATGCATCCACACATTTCCTGTAAAACCTTTTTCTACAGGACCTTATATCGTCACGTGAGGATATTTTGCAGTCCGTTCAGTCCCTAGAACTCAAAATTTGCGTTCTCTTCCTTCAGGGCACTTAAACGAAAACATTTCGGACGTAAGCGCCGAACCATTACCAAGAGGCATAATTCAGATGCAAATCACAGCCTACCCTTATAGATGACAATATCAGTAATCTGAAACTCCAGCAGGTTTTCCCTGTAAGTAGCACATAGAGTGTAAAGCAAACATTTGTAAGAGATGGCATTTTTAAATGCTTATACTATGTGATAATACATCGTTTTGCTACGTACTTACCCGAATAATAAACAAATAACTATTCTGAATTGATGGTTACGGCTGGGCATGCGTCAAACAGATTTCGGATGACATCTACGAGTTTTGTTGTCTATGAAGCTTCTGTTCCGTGCTTAGAGTTCATATGTCGTACTGTCTGGAAACGTGCAAGTCTTTTATATAATCATTTACCAGACCTTTTTGTTTGGTGAGAAATCTGGAAAACGTGACGACTGAAGCAGGAATCCTTTTGTACTGAAGAGACCACCCAATCAGTATAGTGATTACTAACGCTGGCTGCCGTACCAATTTGAACAGATTAAAATTCCTTAAAAGGCATGGAAATTTGTAAGCGTATAGTGTCTGCAAAGCAAGCATGCAATCAAAATACACAGCGACACGAAAGTCCTCTCGAGTGGTTGGCGAGAGGTGAAAATGGTTGGAAAATTCTCAGACCGTCCCCGTGCATCGAAACGGGGGGCAGAATTGAACATTTAGCAAGGCCCAGTGATACCTAAGGCGCTTTCGGGAATGCGCTAGTGCCGGCTTTGCTACAACCTGTTCCTGTGTATTGAAGATATGTAAGGCAACATGGTCCTCATGCAGTATCGAATTGTTCTGCTAAAACGTGAATGGAATTCACTGTGTGGTATCGTCAAAATTCTGATTAGCAGAAAAACTTAACTACATTGATGCCTCACGTAACGAAGCCTCGCAAAATCAGTGACCGACATAGTTAAAGCGTGCACGGACCACAAAATGCCTCGCACTAAGAATCGTACGAGAATTTCCTCACTCGTGTAAGTTAAATTTGTTTTACTTTTTGTTTTAACGGTGCGTATATATAAACTCTAATCTGCATAAACAATGGTAACGAGAACACAAACGGCAAATAAATGTATTTCTTAATCTTCCAGCGGGCGCGCGTATGTGTGAGATACACTAGATATTAATTTCGCATTTATTTCGTAGGCCAGAGGGCGCTATGCCCTCGTGTCCTTGGCTATTTTCTCTTCATTCGCCCTTCTTTCAGTCGTCTGCTTTATTTCGAGGGGTTAATGGGAGTCTGCAGATTTACCATTTGTATTCCAGAAATACGCGCGACCGTTGAAGTAAGTTTTTGTTATATCTAATTTCCTTTTTTATTACAGAAAATCTTTATTCTTTTACATCTAAATCTTATCATTTTATATAGTTTTTTGCATAATTACTTTTAATGATAAAATACAAGCAATGTATGCGTCACATACGCGCGACCATGTATGATATTTTTGTTCTTTTCTTTTCAGTTATGGCGAATAAAAGTAAAATGCTCGACATGTATGACTCGAACGATTTTTAGATTATAAGAAATATGCTTTTGTGTGACAGTGATGACGATGAGGACATTACTTTAGGTGAAAGCATTACAGATGAAGAAGAGCGAATTTCAGAAAGAGAAGGTGATTCAGAATCGGAGATAAGTGCAGATAGTAATTCTGAAGAGTCAAATAATGATGATAATTCTTCCTAAGTGTATATAGCTCATCAAAAGAAAAACAAGAAAGTCATCGATTTTTGGACATGGCATAAAGAACGGTTTAAGAAAACTAAACGAGCGCCTCGTAACATATGTGTTCATGTTCCTGGAATCATCGGTACAAATCGGTAAATATCTAACAGATATTTTGGATGTATGGAAATGCCTCTTTACTGATAGTATGATAGAAATCATCGCTGAAGATACGAATACATTTATTTCTTGTGTGAGGTCTAATTATTCTCGTATAAGGGATAGCAGAGACACGGATGGAGCAGAAATAAAAGCTCTTTTGGACTTGCTTTACTTAGCTGGTATTTATCATGGTAACAGAGTTAATCTTGAGGAACTGTGGAGAATGGATGATTTTAAATTAGTAATGAACTTGAAGAAATTTTTGTTTTTACTGAGAGCTTTACGGCTTGATGAAATAAACACAAGAGCAGAACGAAGAGGAGTCGACCGCTTGGCTCCAATAAGAAATATTTTTGAAAAGTTTTTCTCTAATTGCCAGAAGTGCTATTCACTTCGAGAGAATGTCACAAGCGATGAGAAATTAGAAGGATTTCGAGGAAGATGTGGTTTCGTTCAATACATTCCCAAAAAAACGAACAAATATGGAATAAAAATTTATGAAATGGTAGACGATCGTATATTTTACACATACGATATGGAAGTTTATGCTGGAGAGCAGCCAGATGGTCCTTTTTACGTAATCAACAAACCACAAGATGTTGTAAAATGGTTGATAGAACCTATTCATAACACTGGAAGAAATACAACCACATACAACTGGTTTTCAAGTTTTGAGTTAGTACGAGATCTAGATGAAAACACTTTGTCATTTGTAGGTACTTTGAAAAAAAAATGAACCTCAAATTCCGGATCAGATTAAGCTGACTAAAACCCGGGAACCCAATACGAGTCTTTCTGGATTTAGGAAAAATATGAGACTTCTCTCCTATATATCAAAACGTTATGGAAACGTCATATTGATTTCAAGTCTTCATGATGACGAAGCAATAGATGTCCAGCACAAAAAAGCCTGAGATTATCATATTTTACAATGGTACCAAAGGAGGTGTGGATGCAGTGGACAAACTCTGTGCTTCCTACAATGTTGCCAGGAACACCAGGCTATGCTGAATATAGCAGCAATCAACAGCTACATAATTCATTCAACGAATAATAGTGAAAAATTACTTAGAAGGCAATATCTGCGAAAGCTAGCAAATGCTCTTGTGAAGGAAAACGTTGAAAGAAGAAGCCGTACCTCTCTTCAAAGTGAGCCTGAAATTAAAATTGTTGAAACGAAGAGCAGAATTAGATGTTGTTGAAGAAAGGACATTCAGGGAAAAAAAGATGCAGGCCCTGTCAAAATGATAAGCGCACTAGAATTACGAGGTTCAGTTGTGAGATTTGTTTAAAATTCATTTGTCTAGAGCACTGAAAACATATTTGTTCAGACGAAAAAGATGCAATGAAGTGATTATGAAATTGATTTTTTATGTAATATTTAATGTGTTTTTCCATTTACTGATTAAAAATATAAAAGTTCAGTTGAAATATTGGCAGTTTAATTTTATTCTTTTTTAAAGTTAGTTTGGTAAGTCTTTAGTCCTTTTTATATTGTTTTTGTGTTTTATACTTATTTTATTTTCCTTAATTTAAGGTTAACATTGTTTAACTCAATTGTATTTATTAACATTTAACTATTTACAAAATAATATGTTTGCTCTGGAAAATTTATTTTTTATAATAGCGTATCTAGGATATACGCGCGACCTTTTTTGTTGGTGCAGAAGGCGCGCCCGCTGGAAGAAATCATATATTGTCTTTGAAGAATTTCAAGCAGTATTTTAACAGGAACATTAAGCTTAGAGAAAATTTTCGTTTGATGAGGCAAAGGAGAACACTAGGATTCCATACCTATTGCAACTATCATAAATCTTCAGAAGTGTAAATTAGACAACTCCCATATTTTTTAAAGACGAAACTGATTTAGTTCGTAGACAGAAGAGGTTCAGGTGGTAGCCAAGCAGTGCTAGTGATATGTTCAATGAAAATGCCATGGACTATTTCTAGACCATTCTAAAGAAAAATGACACCATTTTAAACATATTTCTATTGCTAACTGTAACGTTCCGCTACGGCTTTGACGAATAACACTTTGCCGGATGCATCCGACTGTTTTACCTCCTTCCTGTACCACCAAACCACACGGTTGAATAGTCAGCTCGCCAGAATTTCAGGTGTCCTAATGCCCCACTTACGAGTACAAACTACATACCTCCAAACATTCATGCTGTCTCAAAGATTTTAGATCCACAAGGGCCAACGATACGGTAGCCAGCATAGCTAACCACTACACCGATTAGGATAGCTTATGATTAAAGTCCATTCATACCATTGACTCGTACTGCGCACAACGATTAATGCAAAAGAAAGCACTCAAGATGGTCCGCCATTAGAAGGATTATTCGTGATACTCTTTAGAAAGCAAAAGTGTTCGTTCTTGCGTTACACATGGCGGAAGCAACAAAATACTCATCACGAAAGGAAGTAAACCTTAAGTGAATCTACTGATGGTCAATGGTTTTAATTACTTGGCTAATGTTTGAATCCATTTCATTTATATTTAATTTGAATCCATTTCAATGATTAATAATGTTTAATGCATCTATTGAAAAATTAATTTTTCTATCGAAACTAAAAGGAACTTATGTGAATTTTTCTTTACATGGCCTGTATCAACACTTAATCTTAATATGCGTTTTAATGAGTATTATTTTGCTTTTTAAACGACCTGCATTTTCCGCGATTCAGAAAATATTTATACTTATTTTAAATACACAAAGAATATAATTACAATATATTATTTTCACATTTAGAACAACATTAATGCTAATGCGATAGTTGCGTCTTTTAATTCTTACATTATTTGTAGTCTTCAAAGTTCATTTGAAAAGCCTCCCTCTAGAGCAAAGTATGACATACTCCTCACCAGCATCATAAAGCTGTGTAAATGGAGCACCAAAAGTTGATGCAAACAAACGCTAATTGAGTTACCTGAGGAAATGAGATCAAGGTAAAGCTCGCATAAACTTCCGCCTAGAATACGACACCTTGCTGTTTCATTAAAGCCATTACATTGTTACTCTCCGGTATGTTTGCTTTCATCTTGTAATTTCTTGACTCTTTTAAAGCATTGTTGTTGACAAAGAAACTGACGTAGTTAATTTTGGGTGTTCCAGTTAGAATAACAGATATATACACGATGTAATGTATTTCATAATTATGATGTTTCATAATGCGATAACGGTTCTAGTAAAATTAAAACCGTCTTTTGTATTCCAGCAAAATAATCACAGTGTAAGCGTTACTAGTTTTTAAATTTATTATCAAAAAATAAAATCTGTGAATTTATTTTGACGCAGATGCAGATTCTAGCTACTTGTGAAGTCAAATCTTAAGCATTACTTTATGAAATCAGAAAACTGTCAGAGTCTAATGAGTTTACACACAACAAAAAGTTCAGGTGGTAATATTTATAAAGTTAATTCGGCAGAATATTTCTGTAGGTGCCTAACTGATTAGCGCTCAAATACAAACTAAAAGAATTTTACAGCGGTTTTCAATTGCATGTATTTTAGTGGATATAGAGATTTTGTATTCTACGCGCGATGGTAACAAAGAAACCAGAAATAAACGTTTTATGAAATAATACAATTTCGTCACTTAATAATAACCATATCCCTTTCTGAAAGCCGAAGATAAAAAACACATTCATCATGTTTCTATCTTCTTTGTAGGCTTATGATTCTTTCGATTGAAAGCAAATTTGTATTAGCATATATTTAAAGCGACTTACAGAAATAGATTACCAAAAACCTCACTTCATATTACAATTATATACTTTTAGTTCAATTTACGGTAAAAATTTATCGTACGGTACCCCTTGGCGAATCGTTTCTTTTTGGACGCCAAGATCGGCACCACGAAGGCACAATTTCAAGATGGTCGCTACACAAAACAAAACTAAGAAGTCAAAGGCTTACACAAACTCGGCGTCCATGTACACATAAATGTATTTTCACTTAAGAAAATATTAGAGAATTGCACAAACTAGGCAGTGCCCACTGCCTTAACTTTGTCCATGTACACACCGATCTATTTTCATTTAAAAATCATTCAAAAAAAAAGCTAAAACAAAGTTAAAACTGTTATGGTAACCAGTAGTTTGGCTAACATTATCAACATTAGGGTTCCCGAAAAACCTAGTTTGCGCGGTGGGCTTCCATATTTGGCGAACAACCAATACCTCTTGGCGATGTTTTCAGAAAAAGAAAACATGCGGTACCGTAGAATAAAGATTAGCCCAATTTACAATCAGACTAATATCCCAGAACAAATCATATAGATTTTGTTTGTAGATGAAGGAATCAACGATTTTAGCAATTCAAAATATTGTGAGTTCAAAAGCGTTTACAATATTTTCCCAGTCTTCTTATTGGTGTAAAAATTAACACAATTAGTTTTTTACTACCGATTTAATATATTTATTTCTCCTAAGTTTGAGTTTATACGCCACACATTTCAGAGTTAGAATTTTTAATACATCAATAGAAATCTAAAACTATTGTTGTGGTCTGACATATTCATATACGATCTTTGAGAAAACATATTCGTAAAACACTCTCAGATTAATAAGAGCATTCACACATTGATTTATTTTACAATTACTTCATTCTGATTTCTCTCACAAATTACTTAGAAGAAATATTGTTTAATACAATTTTTTTTTCCTGAAAGGTTACTTTTGGAACTCTGAGGGAAAGAGAATTCTATACTTGTCGCACTGTTAGGAATTACTGAATTTATAAAGAACGCAAAATAAAAGTTACTCTTTACTTTGCTTTTTGTACAAAGCTCCAAACCTATAATTAATTTTTAAAGCAAAGACTTATTGCAGATTTGTGTACATGCAAGCTCTATTTAATATACAGTATATGAGTTTAAGCCGAAATATCTCTCTGGTTTGAAAGATATTCTCAAATTGGTGGTAATATGGTTAATTTTTTCTAAAAACGCATCTTTCAAGCATTTTCATTACACCTTCTTTGAAAACGAATACTGATAGTGCCAATCATAAATGTACCACAATTATTCATTTTATGCATATAGCGTAAGGAAAATTATATTGTTTCGTTTCAGCTTTGAATTTTGCAACTTCATAGTTCACTGAAATTATATTAACTGATATTTTTATGTTCGTTTATCAATAATTACACTTGATTCATTAATATTCCTATGCTTTCTTTGGACAAAATTTTATCAAATACTTATCCGTAAACCAAAAGACCTCTAAGATTTATGACGTTTAGAGAACATAAAGGCCCACCAGCGGCCGAGCGGTAAAGCCACTGAAAACTGGAATTTTGGTCCGAGTTCAAATACCGACCAATAGGCTGGTTGCATGGCCGTTTTCGGGGTTTTCTAAATGTGTGACGTGTATATGATCCAGTTTTCCTTTTGTGCATCCAACTCTATATTTGAAAATATGCTCTTTATAGCTGAGACATCGAATTCGAATGAATAGAAAAGAGTGAAAAAACAAAGCTCCTAATCCTTCTAGCAAATTTATTTATTCGAAAAAAAAGAAATGCCCTAAAAGCAAAGTTTCCAACTTGCACATTTCTAGGTCAACGGAACATTAAACTCGGTTATCAGATCTCGAGTAAATATCGAAAGAAGCCATTATCTGATGTCAGGCAAAACATACTGAGAAATTCAATGCATTACTTCATACTCAGCATCTATAGTGAAACTAAATATCTTAGAGTAAAATCTTTTCCCTTTGCAATTAAAAAG